AGATATGTGATCAAGATGGTGGATTGGTGCTGCTGGGAAATAAAAAATCTTGCAAAATTGTAGGTATTGGATCTGTGAGATTCAAGCTCCATGATGAGTCAATAAGGTTATTGACTAAAGTCAGGTATGTATCTGATTTGAAGAAAAATTTAATTTCTCTTGGTGAATTCGATAGGAAAGGATACGTTTTTCAAGGAGAGAAAAGTATCCTAAGTGTCGCATCGCTGCGAAGAGGGGCCGACAAGGATAGAAGAGTCACCACCTTTCGTTATTTATCCCAAAGAGAGGGAAATGAAACGATTAGAGAGAACCTACGAAAAAGGGAGAAGATAGGTCATCGCAACCAAATCTTGGGTTCGGGAGTCGGTTATGCAAGGGGAAGGTATGAGCACCCCTCACGTCCGTTGTACTCAACGGAATCCACGTTGTTGTCTATCTAAAAGGGTGTTAAGTATCTAAAGGCTGGCACACAGGGACAAAAGAAAAGAAAAGAAACTCGATAGAGCATCGACGCTTTATGCCTACGTATTCCCTCGTGCAATGGGAAAGTCAGAGTCAACGTAGTTCGGAAAACTACGGATGAAGGTGGGAGAAGGTTGCTCGCCAAGACATCACCGTCTCGTGTCTACGTATCCTCGTCTGGTACGAGAAATCAGAGTAAACGTAGTTCGGGCTGACACGACCACAGGTTTGTTAAGTGTTTTAGCTGAGTAGGGTTAAACCTTCGTTCTAGCAGTTAGGTGTATTACTGCTCGGCCATTGGAGACTTAGGTGTTACCTGTTTGCGGTAGAACCAGGAGTTAACACACTCTTTCTGAAAAATGGTTTTCAAACAATCCCGAAGGATAAAAAAGGTTTGATGTTTTGCTTTGTGTTTTTTAAGAGAAGAAGTGAATTGAGTTAAGTTTGTAACTCATGTTGCACTAAAGACTATGACTTCAGAGAGAATTCGTCGCATATCGCCCAAAGGGCATACACTAAACACTCTAGACATTTGAGAGGAAGCCCTTTAACTATCATTTCCCAAATACTTAAGGCTCGTAGCGTACAACACTTATTATCCTTTATTAGATGTCTTGAAGAAGTTTTGAGATGAGACGAGAAGACACAAACTCTAAGGGAAAACTAATCAACCCTAATGTTATCATGCAATGTGCTCCTATGATTAAGGTTAAGAAGGAAGAACTATCCTAATGTTATCATGCTTGGATTGAACACTTAATGCCTCTCCTACTCCCATCCTAAACAAATGGGACTAGGAATCCTAAAGGATCATGGCAAAGAAACCAAGTAAACACAAGATAAAATCAATCACAAATGAGATGAAAGAAAGAGATAAAGTTGACTTAAACAAGTCAAGAAGAAATGCAAATATGATATGAAAGATGCAAAAGATGCAAAGCCAACCAAGGATGAAGCAAAATGACTTAAACAAGTCAAAGAAAAAAGTGAGATGAAATGGGAGAAGTTACAACTCTTACAACCATTCATGCATCAATCACTAATACCAAAAGATAAACACCAAAGCTTAAAGAAGAATCCATGATCAAAATGGAGATGGGAGAATAGGCTTGGGCAGCAAGCAACATAAGAAATACCTCAACCAAATGCAACACATTGATCATGCAAGAAGAAAGAACAAACAAGTTCTCAAAATGGTTCCTCATTCAAGGCAAACTCAAAGTATGAATAGACAAACCAAATCACCTTGAATGATAACCAAATTCCAAAGGAAATAAGTGATAACACAAGAGGAAAGCTCACAAACAAGAATGGAAAACAAACACAAGCAAGCTACAATTTAAGGCAAGAGAAGGAACCAAAGTTCCATTCATCATCAACACCTAAACACAAGTGGAATGCCTTAATCCAAAGTGACTTGCAACACAAGCTACACAAGTGTATGACCTATAAATGCAAAACCAGCACCTTAATCATGTTATGAATGAGTATCAAATCTCATATGGTGCTCATGAGATCCATCAAAGTCATTTCCCAATGAAGCTAGGTCAACTAGTTTATATGAACTTCATCTAGGGTGACTTAACTTGCAAGCCTCACCAAAAATAGAAGAGTAGTTCAATAAATTCCAAATAAAATACCCAAAGCAAACAAATGTGTTGACAAACAGAGGCCAAAGTATCCAAACCAAATTCAATTCAAGGAATCACCAAATGATTTGATCAACTAGGGTGTTCCACCTTATTGAATTATTATCGAGGGTCAAACAAAATCAAAGCAAAGTCAAACAAAAATTGATCAAACGTTGACCAAAATCATCCTCAAGAGTGCCTCAATCCCTTACCTAGGTTAGGGTGAGGCCATGGTCATTGGAGATTTGAAATGGTAGCTCAAGAGTGGATGATCAAATAAGAACAACATTAAAAACCTCTCCAATTGAAAAATTGAAATTAAATTTCAAAATAAAAAAAAATTGAAATTAAAAATTATAGGAAATTAATTAAGACTTTGAAATGTTTGAAAATAATTTTTGGGGAATTTTTAGCAAATTGGAGCTATTTTTAATAATTATAAAACAAAATAGACAAGAAAATAAAATAAAAAACAAATGAAAATGGAAGGGGGTGCAAAAGCAATTTTCAAAAACAAAGAAAATCAAGCAAAGCGTGCATTGGGCTCCAAACTGAGGGTGTGTGAAAAGCACAATCATCCCAACTTGATCCAAACCTGACTCAACACAATGAAACACATTGTTTCATTAAAATATGTGGAGTCAACACAGCCACATGGACAAGTCAAGTGAATCAAAGCCACACACGCGCACGGTCAACAATTCAAACAGATCCACATAAGCCTTGACTGGAGACATATTGCCTATCAGTTTCTCATAATACACTTCCGGCAATGTAGCAACAAACATGTCAATTAGCTCTCTCTCTACCATAGAAGGTTGGACTCTTGCTGCCAGCTCGCGTCATCTCTTGGTGTATTCCTTGAAACCTTCATTACTCCTCTATGACAAGTTCTGCAACTGTACCCTGTTCGGTGTCAAATCGTTGTTATATTGATAATGTCTGACAAAAGCTTCAGTCAAATCTCTCCAACTTCTGATGTTAATTGGCTCTAAACCCATATATCATTCCAAGGATGAACCATAAAGACTATCCTGGAAGAAATGCATGAGCAACTTCTCATCGTCGGAGTATGCAGACATCTTTCGGTAATAAGAGCGGAGATGCACCCTAGGACAAGTTGTCCCCTTATACTTATCGAAGTCCGGAACCTTAAACTTCAGAGGAACCTTCAGGTCTAGGATCAGCCCCAGATTTGACATATCTAGACACAACGAGTTTTGATTTTCAAAATTCTTCATCTTTTCCTCTATAAGCTTAAACCTTTTGTCTGTGTTAGACTGCAAACCAACACCAAGCTCTCTCATAGAGAAAACATCATCTTGGTCTTGGTCATCCTTATCCCACTGAGGGCCAGCGTTTCCATGCACAACACATGTTGGTGCAGGAATAGGGATTCCAGTATGATAACCTCCGCCCGAAGGGATAACAACAGTTGGAATGACAGTAGCCTGGGGGGCAACATTATCAGCTGTAGGAGGTATAGCAGCAGTTCCTCCACCTCGCCTATGTAACCGAGGTTATATCTCTTTCACGTCCGAGGTGAAATTGAGTTATTTGTAGTAGTGAATATATATCACTTGAAGATGTTAAACTACTTCAATAATTTCGAATTTCCATCACCGTCCAATCATATACTTTATCACGAAGAATAAATTTTACTTGAAGATAAAACACTCCAAGAATTTCACATGTCAAAAACTAAGTTGAAAACTTATGGTGCAACTTCCTTATTAGCAGGAAGCTCTTCAACCACCGATATAATCTTGTACCTTATGTAATCCTGATTATATCAACACATCTTTGACTTGAACTTTCCACAAATAAAAAAAATTGCTCCATCAATTTTCTCTTGTCCAAATTGCACAAGTGGAATTTGTGACTACATCTAACAACTCTTTCACAACACTACCCTTCCTTTTTAAAGTAGAAGATCAAACAAATTGCAAGCACAAAGCATACTAAGAACACTAATCCTCAGATCAAAGCAAAAAGTTTTGATACCAGTTGTTAGGAAAAAAAAATATAGAGAAAAAGAGAAATACAATCACAACACAAAAATATAACGTGAAAACTTCAAAATCGGAGAAAAAACCACAGTCGTTGTCAATACACAATCAGAGAATAACATTATATGAAAATTATTACAACACATAATATACCCTCAACTAACTCAAACCCCGCGCGTAATACACCTACACCCTCCAAAACAAAATATTTAACTACATCTCAAAACACTATAATACAAGAATATAAGAGAATAAAAAAAATCAAATACAAAGTTAAAGTATTTTTGACCAATACATCTTTAAATAAAATACTTGAATTTTATATAGCCTTTGACTCCCTATTTTATCACAAAATTAAGCGGCAAAGAATTTGTATCATATATAATCTTAAACTCTCTCTTTAATACAAAATTAACCGATATAAAAATTTATATATATTTTCAATCATGTAGCAGCTTTACACTGAAATATCTTATGGAGATATGGTTCTTGGTTTGTGCATGGAACCGAGTCGACGGTTGTGTGAGACCAAAATGTGCCTGGAGACTACAACAACTCTCCAGAAGGGACGATGTATCTATAAATACTTTCATGATCAAGCCAGTAATTGACCAAACGTGTGTGGTTTTTAGAGTTAAGAAAGTGTGTAACTTATCCTAAGCCACGAGTTAGCATTTATGGAATGAACTCTGGTTTTTCAATAGTAAATGTATATCTACATTATTTTATAGAAAATATCTGAAGCATATCTTGGAAAATATTTATAAATAAAAAGTTTTCTTCCATTAACACTACTGTATCACTAATTGCCTATAAAATGGACATCCAAATCACAACAAATTCATCATTCAAACAGCTATCATCAAAACTTGTGTGAATCAATACTTTTTCCAGCAATATGCAAAGCAGGAAGATCAATGGATATCCACAACAGCAATACTATGATGATGATTGCTCGTGGATGGAAACTAAGGCTCAACAGCTACAGAGCCATGGATATCCACAGACACAGCAATATCCAGGCATGAAACCAGGTTATGGCAATGAATCTGATTACTCCATGCCAAACCATCACGGCCACGACTCTAACCACAATATGTATCGTCAGGACAGCATGCCTCATGGCCATGGCAATGGTCATGGTCATGGATACGAACATAAGTATGAAGTTTACAAGGAGGAGCGTATAGTCGGTTCCGGCGTGACGAAGAGGGATGAAGTTAGATATGAGAGGCGTGGAACATATGGAGGAGATGTTCATCAGGCCAATCCATATGGATACAGTAACAACCCTCATGGTCATGGAACAAAGAAAGGCAATTGGACACTAAAAGGATTCTAATATGTTTACTACCTTTGAATCCAGGCAGTAATAATAAATGGTGTGCTTTGTTTTCTATTTTCTTGTTGTAATAAGATCATGGCCCATATAATATATGGTGTTTCATATATATGATCAATGTTATCTGTAACTCATTATGAAGCTATAATAAGATGCAAGTGGAGTTATATATTAGATACTGATTAATTGTTAATTTGCTTCATCAAATCAAATTCTTTAACTCAGCATCCATATAAAGTTAGTTGAAGATGTTCTACAATTAATGAGACAAATTTCTTATGATGGTGCTTTAAGCCTTCTGTATTTTCTTGCCTTCTATTTGCATCACTTTGGTGTAATAGTGAGTCTGCATTTAAAAATTATCATACAAATTGCGTTTTGTCAATGAAAAAAAAATGACAAAATCAATTAATTATATTTATAGATCTAAAAGATGATAACTCGTTATGTATGAATATTTGAACACTTGTAAAAGATTAATTGTCATTTGTGCTAGAAGTAAAAAATGTCAAAACACGTTATATAAAAATTTATTGATTGTTTAAACATGTTTTTCATGATTGACTACTATATTTGAAATGACTTTTGTTGGGTCATCAGAACCATCATCAATATTAGACTAAGAACAACATACATGTAAGAAAGACACTAGATTTAGTTGTGTCATGAGGAGGAGAATGAACATTAGGATAAGAGTAACACACAAATGAGAGAGAAACTACATATTCATCTAAAATTTTAAGATGATAGATGTGTTGTTTCTCCCACTTATAGATTTTCAAGTCTCCACATTTATAATCGATGTGTGACTCCATCTCACATTTGATTTATTATTCTTAATAACTTTAAGAGCGATCTATCTCATAAATGTGAAAATTCTAATCAAATTTACACACATATATATTTCCCTCTTATCCACTCATACACACTAAAATATTTATAAGTTTACATGTCTTATGAGTCTCAGATCAAAAAGTTCTCGAATATATTTCTTTTCATAAATATACTCATCCGCCTAAATATATCAACAAGTATACATAGTAATCTGCATTTTCTAAAGATATTCAGACATGTTGTACAACAAATATAAAAACTATTAATAATAAACATATTAAAATATTATATTTTTAAACATAATTTACTTTTACAAAACCAATTAAATGATATTAGTGTCATTTTTTTAAGCATGCTTTTTACCTAAGGTTAAATTTGAGTTTTTTTTCTTCTCTTTACATCAATACTATCAGATTTGATGTGTAAAATAGTTTGACAAAGGATTTAAATGGATAGTTATTATAAGTATTTTTTATGGTAACGAATCTGATTAATGATTTGCAATTTTCTGAAGTCATTAATAAATTAAGTCGTATTTCGGTTTTCTTCTCTCTCATGCAATCCTCAATTGACATTCATGTTTAACCTCGAGAATTACTTGTGTTAATGTACATTTTATTGAGAAGTCTAAAATAATTTATTCGCGTCAAAAGTTTCCAATAATTTTCCTTATCTATTCTTTTTTCATATACCATTCTTGTCTCCAATAAGTTTATATAAATCGTTTATTCAAATAATTTGATTCCAAATGCTAAAGAGCTCAAAGTTAAAGAATAAATATGGCCAACAAATGAGCACAAATTTTATATTCCTGCAAATACAGAATTGATGATTTTCTTAGACATTCACAAAAAATGCTAAACGAATCAAATTGAATGGTGGTCCCCGGTATACAACTAAGCTTAGTTGATCATAAATTACCCTTAAAATATAAAAAGAAAGAAATCAAACAAAATTTAAAATGATTAGTATGAGAGGTGGTTTCAAAGATTAAAATTGAGATTGAAAGAATACTTGACTAAATTCATTTGAATGGTTAAGTATTTCAATTGATTTTTTTTTGTTGAGAATGTAATTTTTTTATTTTAAAATATGTAGTTTGACAGAAGTAGGGAGTTGTCGAAATGTCAAAGTGTATTTTAAAAATTCTATTTTTTTTTCTTTTTCAATTAATCTTTTCTTTTCTTCTTCAATAATTATTGTACAACGGTATCATTTTGCAATCAAGATGTAGTTGATTCACTTGAGCGAAGAGTGAAGAACAAGAAGGAAAAATCAATAAAAAGATTGATTCTTGTTCATCAATATTGATTTAGAATTCTCCATAGGTTTAGTGTAATTCCAATATCTGATATCTAGAGTACGGACTGTGTGATTCTTGAGAAGCAAATGAGAAGTTGAACTTAGAACACTGAATAATTTAGAATCAGATTATAGACATCATGACGAAAGGTGTACAGATCGTAGTGTTCAAGAAATTAAGACCTATGATGAATGTAGATAGTTTAGACACACTGAATTAGGTGGTGTGTTAATAACGTAATTCTTTGTGTCGAAACATGTAGCTCGACAGAAGCAAGGAGTTTTTGAAATGTCGAAGTGTATCTCAACATAGTTTTGACTTAACTTTATTTGTTTGTTTTAGCTGAGTTAGTTAGGTTAGTTGGAGATTTCTTGGTGTGCAAGTAATCTTAGTCTATAAATAGGGAGGTACCCTATCCTTGTAAATAATGCAATTGCATAGAGAAAAGTTGAATAAAAAATTTCAGTTTGAAAGCAAAGAAAAACTCTGTAGAAATATTCTTCTTTCTCTTTTCTCAAAAACCCTAATTTCTTTTCTTACCCAATTCATCTTTTATTTTCTTCTCCAATAATCATTATATAGCGGAATCATCTTGCAACTAAGAAGTGAAATCAGTCAGAAAGATTGATTATTGTTCATTAAGATTGATTCAGAATTCTCCATAGATTTTGTGTAATTCCAATCATTTTTATTATAGTTCTTACTATTTAGAAAAATGGGTTTTCAAGAGTGAGTATGGGTTTTAAAGATTTAAATTTTATAACTCCTAGAGATGAATATCCTATGTAGGGATAGCAAAAACATTCACACCCCACTATGTCAAAAAAGACCTTTAACAGCGCTTAAAAGCGCTGCCAAAAGTGGCGCTGCTAAAGGTAAAGGCAGCGCTTTTTTTATGGAAAAAGCGCTGCTAAAGGCTCCCTTCAGCAGCATATTTAGCCGCGCTTTTTTACCCCTTTAGCAGCGCTGCCTATTCCCCCTACCCTCCCCCCCTTTAGCAGCGCTTTTAGAAAGCACTTTCTTAGACCCCCCCCCCCCCCTTTAGCAGCGCTTTCTTAGACCCCCCCCCCCTTTTAGCAGCGCTTTTATAAAGCGATGTCTTAGACCCCCCCCCCTTTCCCCACCTATAGCAGCGCTTTTGTAGCGCTCTCTTTGTCCCCTTTAGCAGCGCTTTTTTGTAAAAACGCTGTCTAATCTTCACGATTTTAAATTTTTTTTTTTATAAATAATCACACTTTTTTATATATTTTTCAACAAACCTGCTTATATTACATTCCCTACTTATAATTCAGGCCTTTATTTCAACACTTTGGCCTTATATATACAATTCAACACTTTGGCCTTTAAGTATACATTGTAATTCATCACTTTGCCCATAATCATTTTAATACACATAAACCTGCTTAAATATATTACAACACAATTCGATCCTTAGAATTACAACATCAAAAATACAGTCAATTTACATATGATTACAAATCCGTTAACTTTACAAATAGATACGACTTCCAAAAATATTATTATCCCGCATCAATATTGGATGATACATATACCTTATACAATTTTCAACTCAAGAATAAATTGACACCATTCCTCCTTTATTTCTTCCAATCCTGCTTTCGATTAAGTATCGCACTTGAATTCATCAAAGTACTACATAATATAACAGAACATGCACGATTTAGTTTTAAAACTAATTACTCAGGTGAAACATCGATTAATTATCAAAATGAATCATATAATTTATGAATTGATCCATACCATGATTGGAATCTCTATTTGACCATAATGAATAATTTCCTTCATAAAGCGCAATACAAAATATCCGCAATCAATCCCATTGCACTGACGAGGACACTGTAAATGGAAAAAACAAACGAACATTTATCAGGATATATAGTTTACATAGTTTATCAAGTAGGACCACTATAACAGTCAAAAATGGGAAAATATACCTGCACTCTGATCCAGCTAATGTTGTTAGCCTTGATTTTTGGCACTGTTGCTTGTCTTTGTGCTCTGAATATTTGTATAGCTCTAACATAATATAAACGCATATTTAAAACAATGTCACATAATAAATAAAAATATATAATTATTCAGAACAGTATATCTCATCACTTACGTATCAATCATATTCTTCATATCAGGATATTTTGTTTGATCGCCATCCAATGAATCCAGATAATACACTATTTCTTTCATCGGATTAATCGCGACCAACAACCAGTGTCCACTATAAAATAAGACAACATTTTAGACGGAAATGTTATATAGAATGGCAAAAATCGAATAATTATAATAAATGAATTTAGAATGAAGTCATACCCATGACCAGTATTATATGGCAACAAGAACAACTTCTCTGTAGTAGCGGCCATAAATCTTTGGACTATGTAATCTTTGACTACATTTGGTGTGTGATCTATTGCCCGTGAGTTGATACAGCTAGTTGATAAGAATGTGAATATGGAAGTCAAATCATGCGAGACCAACAACTTGTCATACAAGAGCCTAAAAGAAAAACATAATCAACATTAAAATATTCAGTTAAATGAGCAAATTTTAAAATGTTCAATTATTTAATTAAAATGGACCGGAGTACCTGATGTAGGAATGCATAACACCGACGCCCAATTCAGAATGTTGGAAAACCTGGTCCAAATCCTCCTTAGCAATTGTTTCGGTATATTCAAAATCGAAAATACCTTCCTCCATAGGTATTTGACGGATGCCACCCTCAGTCACATCTGTTGTTCCTACATATGTTTCAAGGCACAACCTAAATCGAGGAACATATGCTTTTTTTGGCTCGACCTTTTTTTTGTTGGGCACCTTGGAAGATTCAGGCATCTTACCCTTG